ACATAGATTGGGAAAATAAGCCATTTTATCCATTCTCCCTTCCTGGAAAATAATGTGGAAGGTGTGTATATGGGAGGGAAAATAGATTTGGGGGGCTTTAGAATTGTGAATAAAAGATTGTAGACCTGTAGTAAATGAGACCACACACTATATTGTCTTAGTTACTTTCTCGTTGCTGGAAAATAACCCGACATCCACAATTTAAAGGAAGAAAGGTTTATTTTGGCTCACAGTTTGTAGAAGTTTAAGTCCATAGTCAGCTGGCTTCAAAGTAGATGGCATGGCAGAGAAGACAAAGCTTATGGCATGGAAACAGGGATCAAGGTAGGAGGGAGAGAGGTAGATCCTTTCATGCCATGTCCCCAGTGGCCCATCTTCTCCCACCAGGCTTCACCTCCCATCATCACATTTAGCTATAGACTCATCAGTGGACTGATCCACACTGATGAGTATCACACCCCATAATCAAGTCACCTCCCCAAAGCCCAACCTATGAGCACAAGAGGCTTTGGAGGAACATCTAGATGTAAACCGTAACACATATTCAGACTTTTCCAAGCAGAAAGGAAAAGTTTAAAGTCTTTTATCTCATCATTATCCTATCTGAAATTTTCTTCATGGACTTAGGAGTTAGACTCTGGAGTTTGATCCTAATTTTACCACTTAATTATTTAAAGTTGCTGTGAGGGGGCCGGGGATTTAGCTCAGTGGTTCTCGTGCCTGCCTCCCAAGCGCAAGGTCCTGAGTTCGATCCTCGGTACCAGGAAAAAAACAGCCGAGTTGCTATGAGAATTCATTTAATATTTGTGGAGTTATTTGGAACCATACTTGATACCTAGTAAGCATTATAAATGTGTTTGATTAAAAATAAAAATTCTGCTTGAGGAAACATTTTAAACATTATTTTTAGAATGGTCTGTTGTGCTTTGAAATTTTTGGTCAGACTCCTAAAAGACAGCAAAACAATTGTTTTTTCCTCAGGTTATTCTCATGTGATAAAAGAAGTTATGAAAAAAACAGCAACAAGAAGAAAAATGATTTAGAGGACCAAATAAAATCAGCCTTTTATGAATCCAGTTATTTTTAGTTTACTCACCTGGTATCTCAGTAATATATTTTACTGTGTTTCTCAACATTCAAATTGCTTTGAAGCATTTTAAAGATGAGTCTGCTGAGGGCTGGGGATTTAGCTCAGTGGTTCTGCCACTTGCCTCACAAACACAGGGTCCCAAGTTCAGCCCCTGGTACAAAAAAAAAAATGTTTAGCACAAGATGAGTCTGCTGGGACTCAAAGGTTCTGTCTTGCCTGGAATCACAGTTTGTGGCAAAATGTGAAAATTCTGACTCCCTAAATACTATCTTTACATGGAGGATACTGCTTTGAGCATTTAAATGGCTATTCCACCAGTATTCTTACTGTTTTTCCTAAGGCCACATTTAAGTATATAAAGTAGTTGGAAATTCTTGGTAATGTTTGCAGTTGTATTTATTGAGTGCGCTTTGGACTTGGATGTTGTAGTTAAAAACCTGTGTTAAAAGTAGTTCTTTAGTGCTGGGGATTTAGCTCAGTGATTCCGGCAGTTGCTTTGCAAGCGCAAGGTCCCAAGTTTGATCTCCGGTACCAAAAAAAAAAAAAAAAAGTGTTTTGTTCTTTTTAATAGCTGCTTGTAGCCTTGATTTAGCAAACTAAATAATATATAGAGTTAAGGGACATAAATAGAGTATCACTTTGGAACTAAATTTTAAACATAAAGAAAAGTGGAATCATAAGGGCTTAATTTTGAAAGTAATTATATATACCATTTATTTTTGCTCTGTGTGCCTGCATATTAGGGAGCACTGTTAGGTACTATGAGGTGAGTATATAGATCAAAAATCATTTCCCTCAGGTGGGTTATAGTAAAGAGGAGTCCATGAATTGTATTTATCAGAACATTTATAGAGTTGAGTGTGGAGGAAGTATTAAACATAGTTTTGATATTAAATCATGAAGAAAGTTAGGGCCAGGGGTTCAGTGGCACTGCACCTGCCTCACAAGCGTAAGGTCCTGAGTTCGATCCCCAGTACTAGAAAAAAAAATTTGTTCCAATGAAGAAAGTGAGCAGACCTACCATAGAGAGTTAATCAGTTATCAAAAGCCTCTCAACAAAGAAGTCAAGATCAGATGGTTTCATTTGTGAATTCAGCCATTTAAATAAGAATTGATGCCAGTCCTTCTCAAACTGTTCGCAAAACTTGAAAAGGAAAGAAAAATTCTAAAGTCATTTCTGAAACCAGAATTACCCTGATACCAAAGCAAGATGGTACTCTGATGGCAAGAAAGATATCACAGGGAGCGGGGATTTAGCTCAGTGGTTTCGCCACCTGCTGCACAAGCACAAGAACCCGGGTTCGATCCCTGGTACCAAAAAAAAAAAAAAAGATACCACAAAAAAGCTATGCCGGTATTCATGATTGAAATCAAATATCTTCAACAAAATACTGTTAAATTCAACAGTGTGTTTTGTGGGGTTTTTTTTTTTTGGTAACCAGGGATCGAACTCAGGACCTTATGCTTTTGAGTCAGGCAGCGGAACCACTGAGCTAAATCCCTGGCCCCATACACCAGGACTGAGATTTATTCCTGGGATGTAAGGATGGTTTAACACAAAAATGATACACCACATTGATAAAGGATAAAAATCACACAAATATATCAATTGAACAAGCTTTGAGGGAAATTCAGCACTTCATAAAATGGCATCAAAAGCACAAGTAGAAAAATATACAAGGGGGACTACATCAAATCAAAAACCTTTTGTACAGCAAAAGCAATCAACAGTGTGAAGACAGTCTACTGAATGGAAAAAATTTTGCAAATCATTGTCTAATACTGTTATGTGAGGGGTTAATACTAAGTCATGTAAGGAACTTCTACAGCTCATAATAATAAAAACTACCCAATTTAAAAAATGGATTGAGAACTTGAGTTTACTCCAGAAAAGACATGCATTGGCCAAAAGTTGTATGAAAAAATGGTCCATGTCATCAGTTGTCAGGGAAAGGCAAACCAAAACTACTGTGAGATAATAACCTCATACCTATTGGGTGGTGGTTATGAACAAAGCAAAAGACAGTGAATGTTTGTGAAGGTATAAATAAATTGGAACTCTTGTCATAGTTGGTAAAAATGGATATGATCACTATGAAAAACTATAGAAGTTTCTCAAAAAATTGAAAGAGATATATGGTATGATCCAGCAATCCCATTTCTGGGCATTTATCCAAAATAACAAATCAAAAGCTTAAATACTAGCATTCCAGTGTTCTTTGGAGCACTGTTCATGATAGCCAAGATGACTGGATAAAGAAAATGTATGTGTACACACAAAGAATGCTATTTGCCTTTAAAATTTTTGCTGTATTTTACAATATGGATAATCCTTGAGGATATTATACTAAGCCAGTCACAGAAAGAAAAATAATACAAATTTCTACTTTTATGTGGTATTTAAAATAGTCAACTAGAATTAGGATGTAGAATTAGGGATTAACAGGTTACCGGGAGAAGGAAATGGGCAGTTCAAAAGCGAGGGATAATGTTTCAGTCATGCAAGATAAACACTAGAAATCTGCTGTACAACTTTGTTTCAGTAATGTATGCTTAATATTTTGGAGTAGATCTCAAAAACTTTTTTTTTTTTTTGCTGCGGTAATACAGAAATTTTATTGAAGGCATAGCATCAGAGTTGGGCTTGCAAAGGTGGTAGCATTTATCTAAGCAGAGATAAACTGATTAAGCATCCAAACAAGAGAGTACCCAGGCATGATGGTACATGTCTGTAATCTCAGCTGCTTAGGAGACTGAGCTTAGGAGGACTGAAAGTTGGAGCAGTTTGGTGAGCCCTGTCTGAAAAATGAAAAGGGCCGGGGATGTAGTTCAGTACTAACTCCCTGGGTTCAGTCCCAGTACTGCAAGGGAGTAGGAAATGATAAATGCTAATAAAGGCAAAGAAGATATTAGAAAGCACGGGGTTAGTTTGAAAAATAGTATAAGTTTGTGGTGCTTGTGGTTTAAAATTTGGAAAGGTAAGTATAGAAAAATAATATGAGGGCCCGGGGATTTAGCTCAGTGGTTCCGGCAGTTGCTTCGCAAGCGTGAGGTCCCAAATTCTATCCCCAGTACCCCAAAAAAAGAAAAATAATATGAGAGATCTTGAAATAAAGGCAGAGAAATACTGAACTTTACTCGCTAAGCTGTGGAAAGCCATTAGAGATACTGGAGCTGAGTTGACACAGCTGTCATCTGGCAAGAAAGGTAGAATGTCTGATGTGTTACTAACTAGTTCATGTTATTGAGTAATAGATCTTACTGTTCTGTAAGCGCCTTCTTGAGTCATTTGCAGGGAAGATGGATGCACCCTGAGACCATAATGCTAACTGAAATAAATCAGACACAAAAACCTGTGTGCATCATGGTTTCTCTTAAATGAGAAACTCAAAATGTAAATAAAGAGCAAAATAAAAGAAAAGATAAGAGGTTAAGGAGGGGAAGGGAGGTTGAAGGGAGGGGAGGGGAATGGGAAAAAAATAAGATATATCATGTACAGGTACATATTCACTATGATGAATGTTGTTATATCTAAAATGTACCAGTAAAAATGAGGGCAAAAAAGATAATAGAAAGTGAATAGGTAGATTTAATTGAGATAGGGAATCGAGATGGGGAGAATGAAAAAAAGAATTAAGATGTGTTATGTACATGTACCAACTCTGCATAAGAAATGTATAATCATTAATGCAAACATATACTAATAAAACGGAAGAAAAAAATCTTTGGGAAAGGTCTTAGTTCTAGCTCATGGTAGAATGTGATTATAATATTAACTTTGTTATTAATGAAAATTCTCCCACAAAATTTCAAAAATGACAAATAGCAATCAAATTTTAAGCACTTCTTTACTATATATTATAAGGTTTGAATTAATGTGAGTACATGCTAATGCACATCTTCTTTACAGGTGTTAGTAAAATGGCCTTTCGTCATTTAATTGAGTTCACATATACAGCAAAATTAATGATACAAGGAGAAGAAGAAGCCAACGATGTATGGAAAGCAGCAGAGTTTCTACAAATGCTAGAAGCTATCAAAGCCCTTGAAGTCAGGTAATTATTTCTTTAGTACAGTTATAGATAGTCATTTCAGACATTTGCCAGTTAGTCAAAAACTAAGAAACCTGGGCATGTGGATACATCCCATACCTGTAATCCAGCACTCTGGGAGGCTGAGACAGGAGGATTACAAGTGTGACCCCAGCCTGAGCAATTTACCAACTTAGACTTTGTCTTAAAATAGAAAGGGATAGGTTTGTAGCTCAGTGTGAAGGCCTGGGTTCAATCACCAATACCAGGAAAGAAAAGAAAAGGCAACTATAATATGCCATGCCTTTAGAGAAATACTTTTTTTTTTTGCAGTACCAGGGATCGAACTCAGGACCTTGTGCTTGCAAGGGAGGCACGGTGCCACTGAGTTATTTCCCCGGCCCCAGAAGTACATTTTGAAATTAAGAATATTTAAGCATCTTTAAAATTCTTCCAGATACTGATTGTTCTTTCATTTGCATTTGGCTTCTTGGCCTTGTGTAAAATTCATGCTAAGATTAAAATAGCATCTTTGGTATTGAATTTAAATTGTGAATTATTTGTACCAAGTCTCATTCTACAAAGGGTTTAGCTTACAAAGGCTAAGATAGTATGGTTTAAGGAAACCAGGGAAGATAAACAGGCCAAGTGGGTGTAAGGAGATGAGTCAAATTAGAAATATTAGAATACAAATACATTCCACTATATACTTGCTTATTGGGCTACATCTAGCTCTGAATTTTGAAGCACCTAGAACATTGAAAGAGAAAAAGTACTCAGTTACATTATTCATTGTTGTAGGATGAGAACAAGTCAGCTGCTAGCATTCTTAGTATTAAATCATAAAAGTTCTTCTAGCTGGTATAAAGAAAGCATGGAAGGATATAATTAACAAAAACCTGAATATCTTCACATAGTGAATAGTTGCAATATAAGATTATGCAGTGGGTGACCAAGATCAAGAGCTCTGAAGCCATTCTCCCTGGTTTAATATCTTAGCTCTATCACTGTATGGCCTTAAGTTACTCAACCTCCTGTCTGGTTAATGGTCTTATTTGTCAAATGGGAGGTAATAATGGTACTTTCTATTCAGAATTATTTGTGAGGTTAAATGAATTAACGCATGTGACATACCTAGTGTGGTGGCATATAGTGCTCTAAATATATGAACTATTAGCATTACCTCCTGGTTTTTTTGGGTTTTTTTAATGATGACCTTCAGTGTAGGTCATTGGCGTAAAACCAAACCACAGTTAGGTGAAGTCTGTTTCGTGGGGGAACAGATTGATTTAATCCAACTTATTAGTATGGTTAAGTCAAAAGAAAATTTAGAGGCCCGGGGATTTAGCTCAGTGGTTCCTTTTTGCCAGGGATTTAGCTCAGTGGTGCCACTGCCTGCCTTGCATGCACAATCCCTAGTACAACAACAAAAAAAAATGTTGACTATCTCTAAGAAATCATTAAACTGTAATTGTCCATAAATATCATTTCTTTTATTTATTTATTTATTTATTTTGGTACCGGGATCAAATAGGGGTCCTTGCGCTTTCGAGGCAGGCGGTAGAACCACTGAGCTAAATCCCTGGCCAAAATGATTGTTTTTTGTTTTTTTTTTGGTACCGGGGATCAAACTTGGGTCCTTGCGCTTGTGCAGAAGGCGGCGAAACCACTGAGCTAAATCCCTGGCCCTATCATTTCTTTTAATTAGTTTGACAGCTCAAGATCAAACTTGAGGAAAAAAGCTTAATGTCTTTATTTTCTCTGATGCTTAGTACCTGGCAAACAGGTATTTAGTAAGCATTTGTGATAAGATGGATGCAGATGTGCCAGTCAAAACCAGTCTGTTACTCTCCTGCAGAGTGTGCTGAATTTACCAAAATACAGGTATGTGTTGAAGGACATTAGGCTGTCCATTCTCAAAATGGAGATGGGCAGAGGTAGATGTATACAGAAGGAATAATACCAGATTTGTGGTTAAATCTTGGGTGAGAACCTTCTGAAAAAAACTTTTCCTACAGTGTGGGTTGTTTCTTCCTTCTGCTGGTGGTTTCTCTTGCTAAGCAAAAGCTTTTTAATAAGATAAGATTCTTTGTGATCTTTCCTGTGTGATTGGGGTTTTGTTCATAAAGTCACCAATGTCTTCAAGAGTTCTGCCTATTCTATCTTCCAGCCAATCTAGTGTTTATTTTCATATTTAGATCTTTGAACCATTTCAATTTTAGTTTAGTGCAAGATATGGATGATACAGGTCTAGTTTTAATCTTAGGCATGTGGAAAGCCAGTTTTCCCAGCACCGTTTATTAAAGAGGCAGTCTTTTTTCCAGTGAAAATGTTTGGCTCTTTTGTCAAAGATAAGGTGGCTGAGTGTGTTTGGTGTTGTTTCTACCTTTTCTAATCTGTTCCATTGATCCTTAAGTCTTTTTTTTTGCCAGTAACTTGCTATTTATATCATAGTAGCTTTATAGTATAATTTTAAGTCAGGGCTTATGATGCCCCCTGCCTTGCCTTTGTTGCCCAGAATTGCTTTTCTAGGTCTCTTCTGGTTCCAAATGAATTTTAGGATTGTTTTCTCTAATTCTGTGAAATATTAGCTGCTGGAATTTTGATCAGGATTCTATTAAATCTGTTTAACAATTTTGAAAGTATGGCCATTTTTACTATATTGGTTCTTCTTCTTACCCAAGAACAAGGGATAGCTATCCATTTTCTGATACCCTCTTCAATCTTTTTCAGAATACTGTAAACTTCCTTTGTTAGATTGATTCCTAGATATTTCATTTTTTTGGATGTTGTTAAAGGTATTGTTTCCCTAATTTCTCTCTCAGTGAGTTTATTTGTGTACAAGAATGCTATTGATTTTTGAAAGTTCTTTGTTGTATCCAGCTACACTACTGAATTTGGTTGGTAAATGTACAAGTCTTTTGGTGGAGTTTTTGGGGTATTCTATGTAGTGTATCATGTCATCTTCAAATAATGATAATTTAACTTCTTCCTTTCCTATCCTTACTCCTTTCATTTCTTGAGTCTGGCCCCTTAGACTACTTGGCCATCCTGACACCCATTTCTTTTATTTCTTTCTGTTGTCTAATTTCTCTGGCTAATGTTTTAGAACTACATTGAATTAGAGTGGTGACATTGCACATCCTTGTCTTGTTCCTGATTTTAGAGTGAAAGCTTTCGGTTTTCGTCCATTTAGTATGATGTCAGCTGTTGGTTTGTCACAGATGGCTGTTATCAGATCGAGATAAAGACCATCTATTCCAATTTTCTTGAAGGTTTTTATCACGAATGGATGCTGGACCTTGTCAAATGCTTTTTTTGCATCTATTGAGACGCTCATACAGTTTCTGTTCTTTCCTCTCTGTTAATGTGGTATATTACATTTATTGATTGAACCATCCCTGCATCTCTGATGAATCCTACTTGGTCATAGTGCATAATCTTCTTGAGGATGTGCTGCATTCTGTTTGTCAGTATTGTATTGAGGACTATTGCATCTATGTTCCTTCAGGAGATTGCCCTGTAGTTCTTTTTTGGCTGGATCTTTCTCTGGTTTTGGTATTCAGGGTAATGCTTACTTTCAGAAATGAATTTGGGAATATTGCTTCCTTTTCAATTTCATTAAAGAATTTGAGAAGTGGCAGCATTGAGTCTTCTCTAAATTTATAGAATTCAGCAGCGAATCATCGGCCTGGGCTTTTCTTTGTTGGTAGGTTTTTAATTGCATCTTTTTAAATGTCATTGACAGATACTGGTTTATTTAGAATTTTTGTATCTTCTTGATTCAGCTTTGATAATTCATATGTATCTAGGAATCTGTCCATTTCTTCTGTATTTTCCATTTTATTAGAATACAGGTTCTTGAAATAGGTACTACTGATGATCTTCTGGATTTATGCAGGATCTGTTGTAATTTCACCTTTTCATTCCTAATTGCATGGATTTGAGTCTTTCCTTTTTTTTTGATAAAGCTAGATAAAGGTTTCTCCATTTTATTTAATCTTTCAAAGAACCAGCTCTTTGATTCATTGATTCTTTGTATTGGTTTCTTAGTCTCCATTGCATTAATTTCTGTTCTGTTCTTTATCATTTGCTTCTTTGTACAAGCTTCAGGCTTGACCAGCTCTTTTTCTAGAAGTTTGAGTTTCAATATTAGGTTGTTTATTTGAGCTTGCTCTGTTTTTCTCATATGGGAGTTCACCACTATAAATTTTTCTCATAGGACTACTTTCATTGCATCCCATAAATTACTGTATGTTGTATTTGCATTATTGTTTTATTGTAGAAACTAATTTCTTCGTTAATTTCATCTGTGATCCATTGGTTGTTCATGAGGGTGTTATTTTCACATGTTCATGAAGATTTTGTGCCATTGATTTCCAGTTTCATTACACTATGGTCTGATAATATGCATGAGATAATTTCAGTTCCTTTGCATTTACTTGAGCATGTTCTGTGAGCTAGTGTGTGATCCATTGTGGAGAACGTCCCCTGTGCAGCTGAGAAGAATGTGTGGGGTGGAACACTTCTGTAGATATCTACTAAGTTCATTTGTTCAAAAGTTTCATTCAGTTCTGATATTTCTTTGTTGATTTTTTTGTCTAGATGATCTTTTTGTGACAATGGGCTATTGAGGTCCCCCATTACAATTGTTATGAATGCTTATTTGATTTTTCATGTCCATTAATACTTGTTTTATATAGTTGGGGCCACTGGTATTTGGTACATATATACTTATGATTATTATCTCTTCCTCTTGGATTTTTCTCTTTACAGGGAAGTAGTGGTCTTATTTCTCTCTCTCAATCAATCTTGGCTTGAAATCCGTTTTGTCTGCAAATAGAATAGCTACCCCTGCTTTTTTCAGGCTTCCTGTTGCATGGAGTATTGTTTTCCATCCTTTGAATTTCTTTTTGAATTAAATGTGTTCCTTGTATATAGCATATTGTTGGATCTTGCTTCTTGATCCATTCTGCCAGTCTGTTTCTTTTGATTGGTGAATTGAGACCATTTACATTGATGGT